CTGTTTTGGGGTACAAATACAAGATGGAATAATAGTCCATTGGTTTCGACTGTCATTTAAATGCATATGATATGGACAGCCATTATCAAAAAGAAATGAAAACAGAATAAATAACTCACTGACCTGCTTGTGTATTTATAATCAAAGAAAATATTATATATTTTAATTGAATTTTAGATTTTCCCGTCGATTGATTGGACCGAAGTGCTCGCTTTGGCGTTTGAAACTATGGGCACTGGGTTCGAGCCTCGGTGGGAACATCATCACTCACTGGGAAATGCAGGTACATCCAGATGACGAGTCTCAAATAGGACGAAATGCGCATCCTGGATTCCACTGCCAGTCACCATCCACCAATGAAAGAAAATATTAGTTTCAGGCACTATTTATTGATTTAACTACTCCTTTTCTACTTCAGACTGGTACGTGTTCACGAGTGAGTGGATAGTGAACAACGCATCGAAGTGGATGAGTCGTTTACTGTAGTATATCTAGTACCAAACAATCTGCCTGAAGGTATTTGATCACGTCTCCTAGCTACCGCTGAATCTATAAAGAATAAACCTAACTTGTGTGTGTGTGTGAAAAAGAAGGACACTCATCTTCTGTGTTTACCCTAGCCTGCCATAAGGTCATCAGCGACGTAATCATCTAAAACTTTCATGTCTCACTGTGTCCTTACTACTCTTTTTTACCTAGTTTACCTCATATAATTATTATCATTATTATTTATCATCCTTCGAATTTACACTAAGCTTATCTTGTCTCTATTATATAATTATTTGGGCGAAATATCCAGTCTCTGTCGAGATATTGGCCCCTAGTACGTATGTTTTGACGGTGTCTGATGATTCACCTGATGATAGCGACTAACAATGGAATCCATGGTTCACATTTCCTCCTATTCGGGACTCATCAGCGGCATGGACATGCATTCTCACTGAGTAGTGAGACTGTTCCCATAAAGACTTCAACCCTGCATCTATTGTTTCAAATGCCAAAGCACTAAACACTAAGCCACGGAAGCCCCGACTGGAAAAACTGTACGTGTATTAAACTGTCTGAGTTACCAGAGTGTTTTTGAATGTATTAAATCTATATGTAATAAATACACTTTCAGCAGATAACAATAATAATATTCATAGTAATGATAATGGCAGTAACACATTTATTTCAGATGTATTTTGCCACACTCGTTATTATTTTTATTAAAAAGTGAATGATGTAAAGTGAAGTTTGACAGCTTGCTAGTGTTAAATGACGTGCATGAACATTGATAGATGAATTTTTTTCCCCCTGAAGCTTAATGGAAAACGATTCATAACTGATTATATTAATCAGTTTGTAATTACTGTTATAGAACATGGTAAATGTTAGTAGATCACTGTTATTCTACACCAGTTAATGAACAATCTAACAGTTAATCTACTAATATAAAATGACCTATAAACCCATATACTAATTTTAAGCATTGTAAATTATGAAAAACGTCAAGTTAATATTTTCGTCTATATTTGGGTTGAAAAGCTACACCCTGGGCTTCACTTTGTTTAAAAAGAAGATTTTAGCTTGATATGACAACTAATACCTTTAAACAGTCTGCTTTCTTGCTGCATTTCTCCACAGGTATAAAACTGAAGTATGAAATAATTTAAAATTTACTATTAGAATCTTTCTTTCTTTAAGCGCAGGGTTTTTTAATTGCACTATAAATTTCTAGTTGTAAACATAGGCGGTAGGCAGTATGTTTGTAACGGGAGAAGACAACAGACTTAGTAACGGACTTTTTAACTGCTGAAAAACACACCGTATTTATACATTTTTGGCTTTATTTATGGTCGGCTAGGTCTGCGGATAATAAGTCGTTCTGATATGTTGTTGGCCTTCTGAAGGTCAAGACTGTTCTGATTGGTTTCTGATTTTCTGAAGGTTAAACTGCGAGGTTACTGCCTGACCACAACGTAAACAAGATCCAGATTTCAGAAATAAACACACCTACTTTTGTAGCCACTGGCTTAAAGTGTTGTTTTAAATTTTGGCAACTTCCTATCAGTCTGTGTTTATATACTTCTAATAAATCTTGTCAGTGGCACATGCTACATATTCACCAGATGAACACAGAATTTCAGAAGACTGTATTTGCACAAAATCTCAGTACAAGTACAAAAGCCTTATTAAGAATTAGTCATTTTGTCTCATCTATCTGTCCATCAAGTGTTGTTTGGAAAGCGTAACAGTCCTCTTCATCTTACGTCATTGCTGTGACACATGGACGTCGAAATTCAAAGTCTTGCAGAGATGAGTGGTTTTTGATCACAGCTGATGCTGAGATTGCATGAGTAGCGAAGCGTATCAGTGAGATTGTGACACTCTACCGACTGATATGATTTGTACCTGAGTTACATATACTGAGCCACTGCCTTTCTGAATCAGTAGGACTAGATTAGGAAAGAACTAAAGGTGATGAAATCAAAATGTAATACTAATCCTTGAATGTATAGAATGTTGCTTTAATTCACGTATAGCAACTTGAAATACTTCACTTTTGTATGAAGTTCTGAGTTGAAAATTTCAGTTCAGTTTACTGGAAACTCTTCATAACATGACTGAAAATCATTTGCAATGATGCAGTGGTATTCTCCTCCTTTCATCAACCAGATTGCAGCAGTTTTCAAAGGTCGTCATTTAATAATCCTCTATTTCGTGAACTTTCGTCCATCGTAGTTTTACTACATTTTTTTCTGTTTTATTACATTCTTTTCTTAAGTGTGGCAATTTGAACTACTGCACTTTTGTGAAGTGTTCTCGGCTGGTATATAAGTCAATCAGCATTACGTTTGTCGTTACCAATATTACTATGTAATGTTCTAAAAATACAACTACAATTCATAACTGCACGTTAAGTAGAATGTATTAAGAGTGATACTAAGACAGAGACAGTATAAGTAAAGGTTGGAAAGTAATATTACACAGAAATAAAAGATAAACTTGGTAGAGAAATACCACATTACGTTTGTAATGAGTATAATATGAAATATTTTACATATTTTACTGCGTTGGTGGCACAGCGGTTAGGACACTCGCCGACCATGCACATGGTCCAGGGTTGGATCCCCGGCCAACGCACACCTGATATCAATGGTGAGCCTGCTAAATTTGGGCTACCGATATCACATGCTGAAAATTCCACAGTTGTACCAAAATACTTTGTGGAATCAAGCTATAATAAAAAAAAATAAGGAAACATTTTAACCATAAGTGTACCCCATTTAAGTAACTCATAGTCCTCTAAGTGATTCAAACCGACAGCCACTAGCATCATAGAATGGCACCACTTCTTGTTTTGGTCACCTGTTAGTTGTTCCTAACCAAATCTTAGTTTCAATAAAATAGTACGTTCGAGTAGACAGTGAGTAGGGATATATAACGGATGCCTTAGCTACTGCAGAAGCTAGAAACTTATAGTTCATTTGTCTAATTTCAGTGTCTGACCTAGATGTTGCTTATACGGAAAATGAGCAGTACTACTAAGTTATCAGTGTTCAGATACCTGAAAACTTAACATTTATGGCCTTACGTTTTCATGTAACACAACTATGATATAGCATAGTGCATACGATGCCCTGAGTCACTAAGGTAAAATAGGATATTTTTCTGCTTCATAGATGCTAAAAATTATCAAAACCAACGAGCTTTATTCATGTATGCCGAGATTTTTCCAACTACCAGACTCTAGAGGCTGATTTGAGCTCCTAGGTGTATGAATTAGTCAATATGCCCAGTCAGTCCACAAATCATTTGAAAGGGTGTATCAAAGCGTATCACACATATACTAAATGTCAAAATTCGGAAAGTGGGTAATGTACTTCACATGTGCGAACAGCTGTAGGATTACTAATTTTATGGGTAACAGCAAATATATCTATGGAATTTTATCAGTGAGGAGTTCCAAAATCATTCATTATTTATATTGAAATATGGTGAATAATGGTACAAAATAATAAGTGCCGATGTCCAAAGAATCGGCATACGTGCAAACACTCATGTTTACTTATTTAATTTATTCAGGAAAAATGAATCGAGTGAGCCAAGGATATTAGATCGTGAGATCAAAATTACCATGGTGACTGCGATAAAAAATCAAAAGTTCTGGATTTCAGTTCATCACAATCATCTTAGAGCTATCAGAAGTGTACAAGATTGATAAAAAAATTGATGATACGTAAATGCAGAGAATCAGATATTATATTAAAGCAGTTAGTCATCAGTTGCCACCAAGAAGAAAAGCTTTGGAACTGTCAACCCGAGTGGATATTATTATTTTATTACTACTTAATCCTTTGCATCCCGAGTGGAATATAAGGCTTCAAGCTTGAGCTTTGAAGTTTCAGTGGCAATGGTGTTTGTTTTTACGGAGTGGGGGCGCCAGCTTCCCGCCCAACCTTCCTTCTTTACTACAGGTTAAGAAAGGTTTAGAAGTGTGTCGGCTGGGGATGGAACTCCGAACTATGTGGGTGGTTGCCAAGTATTCTGCCACTGAATCGGTGACGCATAAACCTGGGTTTCGTGCTTGTTGGCACTCGTCAGCAAGGTGTATCTGCAATCTTGAAGGAACTCATGTCCCTTCTGAGATTCGAACCAGTGTCACATGGTGCTGTAGTCAGAGACGTTAACACTGAGCCATTCGGGCTTGAATGGATACTTTAGTGTCAACATATAAGACAGCCTGTGTCTCACTAAACAAGTCATTTGAGAAGCAATCTTAAATAATAATCCACAAGTTCCATGACAAAAAAACGATTAGATCAATGAATAACTTTCAGTTAGAGAATCTGAAAAAGATGACTACCGAAATGAGATATTCTGGAATAAATGCTTTGTTTTATATGTTGAAATTTGAATTTAATATTTTGTGAATTAAAGATAAGTTTCAGCATTTTGAATTCAATCTTCTAAAAACTTTAAATTAGAATCTTTATGGTTTTGTTTAATTTTTAAAGAATCAGTTCAAACATTAAAAATGTTTTTGGAAGACGCTAAAAATCAATTGAATGAATTGACGAAAAAATCTGTTCAACATGAGCATAAATTACGTTCAGAAAAGTGGAAAATTGAAGATGTTATTTATTCGGGAATATTTAAAAAGGACACAGATCTTTTTGAAATGCAAGTGAGAATTAAATAGAGAAAAAAAAGTGTTGATTCATATTAATATTTACTATAATATATTTTCTTAAACTGATTAAATCAAAAGTAAGAAAGCTAAAGGGTTTATTCAATGCTTTGATTAATTAACCAAAGGGACTTGAACTTCATACTGGTAGCATTTTCTCATATAGTTGTCATCACCAATGACACATCTAAAGCCTTTTTTAACTCCATAAGTAAAAATCTGATTGTCTGTGGCTTTTTTGTTTACTAGTAAAGTTCCTGCCACTTTAATTAACTCAGTCCTCTTAGTTGTGTCTTCATTTAAAGCGTTACAGCTTGACTCTAGTTATACCTGTGCTCATTATTATTTTGCTTGGGCTTATCTATGAAAATTAGGCAAAGGATATTTTATTGAAGTTATCAAAATAGCTTATATTCTGGCGTCTGCCTGCCAGATAGATAATTTGAATACTGGAGAGACAAATGTCTGTATCATTTTTGCTACAGTAGAGTTCAGTTTTGACAAAGTTTTGCATAGATACTTCAATTTTTATTCTGTTATCAGTGAAATAATTCATGAAATTCGAGTAACGTAACGCTACGAATTCGTTGACCGCGAAGTAATTTGGAAACTACTCGAGTACTACGGCATACCCCAAATATTCATCAACCTTATTCAACAGCTGTACGACAACGGCACATGTCAAGTGATCCACAACGGAAAACTCAGCGAGGCTTTTGGAGTAAACACAGGAGTCAGACAAGGGTGTTTATTATCACCAATATTATTCCTAATTGTGGTGGACTGGATTATGCGTCAGACAGTGGGAAACGAGAAGACAGGGATATCCTGGACCGACGTGAAGAACCTAGAAGACCTGGATTTCGCGCGTGGATGATTTATGTTTGATGTCACACAAAATCGAAGACTTACAAGTGAAAACTGACAAACTGGCCGAAGAAGCAGCAAAGACAGGACTCCAGGTAAACATAAACAAGATGGAGGTTATGAAAATAACCAACCAATAACAACAACAACAGCAGCAACATCCAGTGCCAATCACCATCAACGGGAGGGATTTGAAAGAGGTTACTTCATTCACTTATCTAGGGAGCATTGTCTCAACTACAGGAGGAACGGACGAGGATGTCAAATCGAGAATCGGGAAGGCGAGAAACACATTCATCAACCTGAAACCAATCTGGAAATCTTCGTCACTCAGCATCAACAACAAAATTCGGATTTTCAATACAAACGTCAAGTCAGTTCTCCTATACGGATCAGAAACTTGGCCAGTGTGTCACAAAGAATATTTCCAACAGGTTGCAGACGTTTATCAACAACTAACTGTCTTCGCTCTATATTGAAGATCAGATGGTCGGAAAGAATCACCAACAAGAAACTTTGGGGACAAACAAAACAAGAACCAATCGCCCAACAAATATGCAGGAGAAAGTGGAGATGGATTGGACACTCGCTGAGGAGGCCACTGGGTGACATCGCGCGTCAGGCCCTGGAGTGGAACCCGAAAGGTAAGCGGCGAGTTGGACGTCCATGGAGGAGATCGTGTGAAGAGGAATTGAAACAGTATGGAATAACATGGATGCAGGTGAAAAGTATAGCAGAAGACAGAAGCAAGTGGAGACGTGTAGTTGAAGCCCTATGTTCCACTAGGAACCCAAGGGAACAATAATAATAATAACGATACGAATTAAAGTCGTTGGATATAGGTAAAGGCGAATCCTTTACAATATTTCTTAAGAAAAATAGTTCGCTTGTCAAAGATTGTGAATTCAGGTTAAATAAAGTCTTGGAAATATGACTGTTTCCAAGGTAAATGAATACTGTAAAAAACATATGCGGCATCTTTCCGACTTTTAGCTGATTTAAGCTAATGGTACTGTAGAATGTAAAACTAAATGATATATTTTATATTATTATAGACTTTGCATTTTATGTCGTTTTCACAATTCCGATCAAAAAAATGAAGTTGTCAAGATAGCTGTAAAGGGTAAATAGTCCAAATAAATTCTACCGATCATAAAGACTAAGGAAAATAAAGCGTAGGCAGTAGAAATAAGCATAAAATAAAACTCGAAATAAACCAGCTGTGAGGTCTTCATCTATGTAGGTTTAACAGTTAACTCTCCTGACTTAAAATACTTCAATCAGGTAAACAAAAGCTGATTGAGAAATTCAGAGAAAATATAAATTTCTGATGCAGGCTGGTCTCACATTCATCAGATTACTAGTTATGCAGTACATCTTTCAAACTGACTTCTTATTGACTAGAAATACTATGAATCAATCAGATAGACAAATCAGATTAACAGTTAAAGCTGAATTTTAATATTAAACGTATCAGATCAAGTTACCTTCAATTGTCGTCCATCCATAGATAGCAAGTTATCCCTTTTTTTTCTTCACGTTCCCCAGTGGAACATAGGGCTTCAAGCTAGTGACTTGAAGTTTCTGTAGCAGTGTTTTTTTACAGGATGGGGTTGCCAGCCTCATGCCCAACCTTTCCTCTTCACCAGCATTATTTCTGGTTTAGCGAGGTAAAGGAGTGTGTCGGCGGGGGATCGAACCCCGGACCATGTGCATGGTCGGCGAGCGTCCTAACCGCTATGCCACCGACGCAAGTTATCCCTAACATAATAATATTAAGAGGCGAAATAAGTGTTGGTAGAAAGGATGGAAAATTCTGAAGACAATGAAGAAGTGTACATATGCCTCAGTGTGATTAATTGCTTTACCTATTGACCAGAATAACAAAAATGCTTCATCTTATCCATTCTTCCGTTAAGAGAAACCACTGATCGAGGTAAAGGTATCTAACACTATATTTTTGCACCAAAGTAAACAACTTCAATCCTAAAATCGACAGATGTGTGTGTGTGTGCGCATGAGTGCAGTCCATTCTCTTCATCATTACAGTAATATAAGAATAACACACGATTAATTTAGTCGAAAATTTGATTTTGTTTATTTTCACTTTGAATTTAGTTGATTTATTTTTGCTTCAGACTGTAATTTTTTATAAAGATTAATCGACAGCAAATTCAAGCTTTTTCGTGTAACATCATTCGACTACTTTAAAAAAAATACTTCCTGCTTAAATTTATGGGATAAGATTTTCAATAAAAAATTATCAAGTATTGGTTTGTAGGGATTTTGTTTGATTGGTTGGAGGATTTTATCATCAGCTGACATCGGTTAGAGAACCATTGGAAAACCTGCTGGGAGTACTGGATAGCTGTTTCGTCCTAGTTTGGGATTCTCCAGCAGTACGCACCCACTGACGGGGTTCGAACCTCAGCACCTGGTCACAAGGCGAACTCGTAAACCATTAAGCCACTGGGACCCGATCCAGTGGCTAGTCCATGAATTCCAACTTCTGCTAATTCACGACATAGCGCAACCACTTAAAAATGTCTTCGATGAGTAACTGTCCTCACCTACGACTTGCTATACCCTACTGGTCACGGCTTCCTACTAGAAACCCAGGTTAACTGCCTGAATAGAGCCAGTTTTATAAAATGTTAACAGCACATCATGACAATAATTTTTATACTCAAAAATAAGTAGTTAGTCAAAGGTGCATTTAGAAAATATTTGTTGAATTTTCACAAGGTATGTTTCACTGGATGAATATAAAACGTTCGGAGATTGAAATGTAAACTAAAATTAATCAACACATCATTCGTATTCAGCAGATGATCAAGTGGTTAATCTACATGTATTGTGTTTTCCATTCCTTGAGTTGTGAGTAGAATGTAAAGCTTCAGACTTGAGGCCTTGAAGTTTCAGTAGCGATAGTCTTGCTGTATTTTTATGATTGCGGTTACTAACTTCACTTTCAACCTTCTCTCAACTCCACGCTGACTTACTGTCGGTCATTAAACTAGGTAAGGTTCATGGGTGTGTCAGCCTGAAATTGAATCTCGAACGACGTGCGTCGTTGGTGAGCATTCTGTCACAGAACCACTGACGCACATCTACAGGTATTTACAGTAGACTATTCTATGAGATTCGTATGTTGTTGAATTAAACTGACACTGTTTACGTACTGACTGACGGAAACCAAAGTTTGACCTACTATGCGGATTAAAGATTCAAACTATATATTCCAATAAATAATTTAAAATACAGACAATACCATGGTAATTAGTACATTTTTTAAAAAGAATTTAAGACGAATTATTGAAAAAAACTCGGCAAGTAAGTTCCAGTAAGTAAAGGAAACTTTTGTATTCAACGTAACTTAAACATCACTCGACTACTATTTAAATGAAATTGTATAAATTATATATCGAATTGAAATCTGAACGATATCTAAGTCAACTATTCTTTTAAAAGTGTTCCATCTAGGTGAAAAATCTTAAATCATAAATGATGAGTCATTGGTTTTGGTAGATTTCACTCTTCTGCCAACAGATTGCTGAAGTTTATATATTATTTATGGCCTTCAGTGGAGGTAAATGATTTTAAATCTTACAAGTGAAAAGAAACTTGTTCTCCTTGTTTGAAAAAGACGTAAGAATATATGGGAATGACTATTCACAAATGTCGGTTAATTTTCTCGTTTCATATTGATATACAACAAATGGCAACACATTTTCAATAGGAAGGTGGGATAGTGTAGAAAAAAATTTAATACAAAATATAACTACTGTAGTCCCATCAATGTTAGCAAAGTGTAGATTAATGGTGTAAAATTATAGTAGGGTTGCACAATAAAATACGGTTTCTCGCAATAAAGGAATACATCACTTTATATTATATCATCTACAGTTGCTCATATAAGCGGACCGTGACTTTTGGACTGCAAAATCTATGTACTGTTAACATGTTGAAGTACGGTGGTGAAATAACTCAGTAGGTCTGCTCATTTTCCAGATTTCATCAAATCACAAAATCTACCAGGATATGAGAATAGGTTCCTGCTGTCTGAGGATTAGAAATGAGAGACAGTAATGTGTTAAGGTTATGCTATTATCGACAAGCTTTAGTAAGTC